CCATCCTGAAACCTCCTCCCACCAGACATTTCTTCCCAACTTTCTGATCAACTAATCAGAAGGTAAGCAAAACTAGCTTGAAGCTTGCTTTAACTTGAATGGAAAATTCTCAATGTCATATGAAATCAGAATCCTTTTATAGTTTATGCAGCAATAGTGTACCACTCAAGTTTATATTTTCGTTCTCTTATTAGATGTTCTGGTTTATAATCTAATGAAACAATCTACCTGACATATCAAATAGTTCGGAAGCACTTGAAAGTTATGAATGACATTTCAGACTCCAACATTCCCAACGCTCTTCACAAACCACCATGTTTATGCTCTAAATGCGCAAATAGTTCAAACAATTAAAAAAGACAAGAGCCAGAAACACAAGCCTTACACGAATTTCCCTCCGAATTTCAGAGAAGTCGTAGAATTTCCTCCCGGGTAGGTGCAAGAACTCCCCATACTCCTCGCTAGTCTTAGTCTGCAAGAGCTGAAGCACCAATGGCCGCCGCGTGCAGATATCAGAACCCCTCGGAAGGAAGTCGCGACCGACGAGAGCTTCCAGTACGCTAGACTTGCCACTGCTCTGACTACCGACAACAGCAACCTGAGGAAGCTCAATGGTGGATTGGCTTCCCAACTGAGCGAAAATGTCCTGAAGCTTGTTCACTATTGGGATGACGGAGTTTCCCAAGGGAGAGGCGGCAGAGGAGGAGGAAGACGATGGAGAGGGAGGCATTTGCTCGTTCGCCATGATTAACGATGGATCGGGCAAGGATGGATTCAGGGATTTTCTGGAATCGTTGAATTGATGAGAGCTAGGGTTCGATGAGATTAAAACTCGATGAAAATTCAGAGGAAGCGGAGATTTGTGGGTGTCTGCGGGGAAGAGCGGCGGAGGGAATCAACGGTGGTGGATGAAGGCGGTGGTGGACATAAAATCAGGCCACCCTCTGTACTGGCAAATCTTGGCTAACAGCACTTCTTCGCCTGTAATACTAATAATAATAATTAGCCTTTCATCATTTTTTTTTTTTTATTATTTTTTTTTTTGGAGTAATGAAAATTATATATTTTAACAGTAAATCTCAAAGCTTCTTAAATTAAGATTTACTATTTATTTACAATTTAAATTATCAATTAAATTAAAAAAATCAAACTTATTAGTGTCAAAATTGAATTTAGTAATAGTATAAAAACGCTAGTATATGAATAAGGTTAGGTGTATTGTCCTAATAATAGTACTCACACAGTGCTCGTTGTAGTAGTTATAAATGGTATGATTAGAGTCAGTTCATACGCAAACAACATGTTAGTGAGATATCATCATATACAGTGTGAGTTTTTATAAAAAATTGACCACGAGATCTTTTCTCTTTTTATAAAATTTTTAAGAAGATAAATATTTTTTATATTATCATATGCCCGTTTGTGAGGCATGCTCTCTATTTTATAGGGGGCTATAGTGACTTACATAGTCCAATTCAATACGCCTACCATTTTGGAAATGAATAAGAAGCTAAGGAACATGAGGTTGATAAGATGATTGAGTCCTAAATATAAGATACACTAGTGAAACACGATATAATCGATTATATCTATAGACATAACTTGTCATACAGCGCATATAAGTACAATTTTAAGTTAATAGAGTGATTTTGAATGAATGAATTTATCAATTAATTTTTTCTTACGAAGTGTTCTAATGTTTTACACTGGCCGCCAATAAACACCCCCTCGTTCATATCTCTATCCTTACACTCAATCTAAGCTTTAATAGATTCATTACCGTCACTTGACACAAAACAAAGAAAACAGATTCCATATATAATGATATAAATGAATTGATATCTACAATGGATCATTAAAAGCCTACACTGGCAGTCAATGAACACCCCTTCGTCCCTAACAAATTTTGATATGTATCTCGTCAACCAAAAGACTATAAGTTTACATCTCTATCCCTACACTCAATCTGAACTTAACTCGACTAATAAAAAATTCACCATGGTTACTAGATATAAAGCAACAAAAACCGGCTCTATATATAATGATATAATGAATCAATCATTAAAAGCCTACAAAGCTTTTACGCTGGCAGCCAATAACGCCCCCTCGTCGCTTTCAATTCGAGACACCAAGGTTTTCTCCTATAATATCAACCAACGCGATCTTCAACAACCCGTTTGCTGAAAGTACCCTTTTGGCTTAACCAAGCTTACAATAGAGCGATTCTGACGGATTCAACCCGGCTTCAATCATCTCTTTAAGTAAACGTTTCGCCTCGGTCGATTTCCCTTCGTTGCAGAGAACTTCAATGGTAGAGCTGTAACTAGCTAGACTTGGAGTTAATCCTTTGTTAACCATCTCTTGAAGAAACTTCAAGGCCTTGTAAGAATTGCACTCTTTGCAGTACCCATTTATCATTATATTGTAGATAACATCATTAGGCTCCACATTCATCTCTACCATTGATTTGTACAGTTTTGATGCCTCTACCATATTACCTTTCATACACAAACCATGCATTAGGACACCATACGTATGTTGATCCGGGACCGAACCAACTTTCTTCATGAGATGAAACAACTGAGAAGCTTTCTCGACATCATCGGATCGGACAAAGGCATCCATTAGAATCGTATATGTCACTTTCGAGGGAGAAATGCCTCGGTCCTCCATCTCTCTAACCAACTCTGAAACTACAGCAGAATTCCCTGCTTTAGAGAAACCTGCAATTAAAATGTTGTAGCTCACTGAAGTTGGAGCCAAACCAATCAACTTCAGCTTATCAAAATAACCTAAGGCCTTCTCCAACTTTCCAATATTACAGAACCCATCCATCAACAGGTTATATGTTCTAGTAGTTGGATTTATATGAACCTGTTTCATTCGTTCGAACAGCCGTTCAGCTTTCGACATTTGTCTCTTACGGCATAACCCACCGATTAGAATAGTGTACGTGACTACGTTGCACGACACCCCCCTTGTCGACATTTCATCGAACACCTTAAAGGCAATACTCAACTTCCCATCCCTACAATACTCATTAATCAGAGTGTTGTAAGTATACAGACTGGGAAGAACCCCAACAAGCTTCATCTTCTCATAAAGCTCAAAACCATCCTTCTTATATCCTTTCTTAAAAAATCCATTGATCATGGCAGTATAAGTATATTGATTAGCAACAAAACCAAGGTCATTCATCTTAGAAAACAACACTTTAGCCTGTTCAATGTCACCATTTTTGCAACAGGCATCAATCAAGATAGTGTATATAACGACATTAGGAGACAAGCCTATCCTCTCCATTTGAGCCAAAAGCTCAAAACCTTTACTTACATTGCCGTTTTTGCAAAAGGCCTTAATCGTAATCCCAAAACTATACTCATCAAAGCGAGTTCTCCCCAAAAATTCAGTGAAAAAACACCAAGTTTTATGCAAATCGCCTGATTTTGCAAGTAAACCCAATACATTATTGAAAGAGATTGAACTCGGACAATGCCCTTGAAGGATCATTAGTTTAAAACTGTGAAGGGATTGTTCTAATAGTTGAGATTGAAGAGAAGCATTGATAATTGCTTCATGAGAATTCAAATTCGGTTGTGTTGAATAGGTTAAAATCGAAGAAATAGTGAAGAAAGACGAGGTGATCCGATTGGAAAGAAATGAGTGTAAGAAGCCAATGGATTTGGGCACCATAAATGCGAGACTAAATCAGAACTAAGAATTATGAACAAGAGATGAACAACAACTTATGAAGAGAAAAGGATAATAAGAAATTGACCTCCAGAATTTCCCAAAGTTTAAGCAACGTAATCGAAATTATCAACCAGAGGAATCAGTGACTCTTCAATAACAATAACGATGAAGTTGAGTTTGAAATCGGAAGTGTTGATTCTAGAAATTTGAAGGCTCCGTCGCCGATTACCACCAAGAATAGAAGAAGAAATCTCACCATTTCAACAAGGAGATTGCTTCGGAATTTCTTGTTTCGGTAAATCCAATTCCGTCCATCCAGCTCTGTTCTCTCTCTCTCTCAGAAGCACAACCCTAAATCACATTCATTTGCAGCGAAACACTTCTGAAATGGTGCCCTAGAAGGGAAATTCAAGGGGACAAAGTGTAAATTCAAGCTGAGAGAAGGAAGGAAGAGAATTTCTCGTAAACAAAATGGAGAACGAAGATCCTTAATCTAATGATTTCAAATTTTAGACTTCATAAAATATGCATTAGTACCATATATATTTTTCGTGACAAACCTCAAATATGGTATGAGATCACGGAGACTTCCTACATTTAGGCATATCTTTATGTTCGACATAATATCATGCAGGCCTTTTCAGCAACACATTTAACCCAACCAAATCAGGTTTGAGACTACGTATACGAGCTCGTCTAGTGGGTCTATGTGCACGTGTGTGAGTCATGTGTAGGGAAGTACCATACATCCAACCCAGTCTGCACTAAAAAGAGCTCAATGTCAAGCTATGTTATTTTAAAAGATACGTCTCATCGTGTATGTGTGTTTGCATTACCTAACCACAACAGTGGGATCACTCATTGAGTATTTATCATAAACTACTCTTACATTTCAAGTAAAGACAAAGCATCCCTATACGGATGACAGAAGGGACGTGTGTAAAGACCATAAAACCGATGTTAGTAATTGCATTTCATATTATTTATTAATCTTAGGTTAGATTACGACACTACGCTTATGAACTATTTAAAACGAACATTTCCACATAAAAAGTCACGTCAACCATATAATAGCGACTGTATTTCAATAGCAAAGCAGAGTCGTTACACACGCCCTATGAACATCCGTAAGACTCAAACTTAAGTAATTTAGTTCGGAAACATGTGTGTACGAACACAAATAAAGTAATAATAATAATTTTCCATCGTCACGTGCATTTCACTAATATAATTAAAAAATTCTCGATATTAAAAACGTGACATTATCAACGTTTTTTAAATAATAACACAAACAATATAAACGATTCGTTGAAATAAGCTTTGATTTGATTAGTATAACGACCTCCCATTTCACATAATAAAACCCTAAAACAAGTTTTAAATTAGATAAACCCTAAACCAAACTATATTTCTTCTATGCCCATTCTCTCTTTAATTTATCTAAAATGTATTATTATTAATATTATTATTATTATTATAATTTATTAATAAGAGAGGTTCCTTTGAGAAAGTTGATGCACAGCTTCTTCCATGCCTCTCTGTTTGGCTCTCCTTCTTCCACTTTGGCCTTCAACTCCTTCCCATATGTTTCCTATACAAACCAGTTTCAAGTTAGGTCGGATCGGGTTACGATATTTTTTAGACCCAAAAACAACTCGAGTTTAACCTAATCGAACCATAAAATATTTAGGTTGGGTTAGTTCGGGTTGTTTGAATTATATATTAAAATAAGTACAGTGATAATATAAAAGTATTATACAAGTCCACTGCTATCAAATATTGTTCGTTTTGGCTCGTTACGTATTACTATTAGTCTCACGGTTTTAAAAAACGTCTGCTGGGGTGAGATTTTCATACCCTTATAAATAATGTTTAGTTCTCACCATTATTGGAGAGAGGAGCAAAGCATTTCTTATAAAGACGTGGAAATCTCTCCCTAGTAGACGTACTTTAAAAACGTGAGACTTATGACGATACATAACAAATCAAATCAATCAATGCTGTTACATAAATATATGTATACATAATTATATCACTAACAAACATATATATATATATATATATATATATACACATTAGATTTATGCTGACGCTCGTTGAATAATTCTAGATAACCTATGATCTAACTCAACCTATAAAACTATTTGGGCAGTGAAAATTTTGATAGATAATTCTTAAACTCGGGAGACGTAAGACATGTTCTCGAGTTTAAGAACTCGTTAGGTACAATCTCGAATTTTATACTAACCTAGTATATGGAATAATAACACGTGTCAAACATCTATAAATCTATAAGATTGATAACAAAACAATCGGACGGTGAGGAGCATACCATGATGAAATTACGTTGAACAAGACGGTCAATGAGGTGGAAAAGAATGTCCATGGTGTACTCAGGATGCCCTTGGATGCCCATCATGTGGTCCCCATACTTGAATATTTCGATTCCAGTCTTTTCTGACCATCCGATCACTTCCGCCTTTGATGGAAGTTCCTGGACCTACACAATATACCATACATCGCACCGTACCAGATTATTATGTTGAGGAATTTTACTGTACGCGCGAGCTTATTAAACAAACGCAAGTACCTCATCTCGATGGCATTCGATCACCGATAGCATTGATGGGATCTTTAGAGATGAGAAGACTTTTGATGCTGGGGACACGTGTATGGTCCTGATTCCAATGTCCCACCCTGAGAGGGCCCTACCCGTCTTTCCTCCCAATGCACGGCACAAAACCTAGACACGTCATCAACTCTTGTAAAGTTATTAAGGAATTTACACAAATAGCATCAATACAAAATTTAAAATTATTTAATCATAATTATAAAACAAAAACGAAAAAAAAAATACCAATTATTATTTTAAAAGTCAATAGTTTAATATTTGACTCTGGAGTTGGAGCGGGTTAAACGACTCAATCAGTTAAATGAGATATCAGCTAAACTAAATTCAAATTAGTATAAATTTTCATAATATATTAAAAAATAGAACCGATATATTTACCAATATGAGCATAACTTAACTGAAATATTCGATCAAGATTTAAAAAATGCATCCCGACACGTCTTATCATAACATCAAATATGCATGATAAAAAGTTTAATAATTTTTTAATTGGAAAGTTTTATAATATTGTGGAATACTACTTTTTGTGTTTATATTATTGACGTGACAATCAATGATAATATCATATATATATATATATATATATATATATATATATATATTCACGTGATATTAGAAAATCGGTTATTTTGTACTCGCAACATATCGGATCAGCCACGTCATGACAGCTAATTTCCACCTAGTTTTGTCTTTTGGGAAAAATCATTCTTGCCGCCACGTAATTTATTGGATCAATTTTTATTTAAGTAAAAAAAAAAAAAGAAAATATTAAACTCAAAAGAAAAAAAAAGAACTATTGTAAAAAAGAAATAAAAAATATATTCTAAAGTAATAAAATCATTCATTTCAAAATAATGAATGTTTAATATTAAAAATATAATATTAAAAAATAATAAAAATTTAAAATTATTAGGACATAATATCTAATACTCGTCATTTATAGTAATTTAAATACAAATTTGTGTATATTTAAAAAAAAAAAAACCCGATAAGGAATAATAAATTAGACATCAAAGCAATATATAAATTTAATTTTTGAAAACTTTCTAAATAAAATAAAAAATAAAAAAAGTGGGTTTTAAATAATTATTGTAGACCATATAGACTTGCACTACTTGAGACAATCAAATAATTAAATACTTTATTTATTTATTTATTTATTTATTTTAATTGGTCAATATTTTGGGTTTACCATTGTGCATGTAATGTGTGCAAAAAAGCTTCACCAAACTCTCATTGGGAAAATGACCCATCATCCACCACATGTCCTTGTCCAATTATTTTTTTTTTCTTTTTAATTATTTTCATATATATATATATATATAAACCTCGACTCCAAAAATAGGTTGTTCACGAATAATTTAAAATTAAACTTATTATTATATTATTTAAATAGTAAATTATATTAAAAATAAGTGTAGAGTAAAATAATAATAAAAAATATTGAGATAGAGTAATTGGTTAAAAGTTTATATGATTTAAATAGTATAATTTAAATTATTTGTAAGCTTAGAACAAATAATTATATAAAAAATGGAATAAATTAAGATATTAAAAGGTAATTTTAGATAAATATAGAAATAGTCAATTTTACCTAACAAAGTTGAAATTGTTGAAGATTCTATGGTAATTACTTTTGACCATGGTAAAAACAAATTCAAGCCTCTACTTTTTTATCTACTATATTTAAAATTAAAAAAAAAATGATTCTACTCTATATTTTAAAATATATAATTTTTGAAAAAAAATTAATAATTATGCCATTTTCTAAGATATATATATATATATAGTTAAAAATGTTGAAGATTCTATGGTAATTACTTTTGACAATAGTAAAAACAAATTCAAACCTTGATTTTTAGTTTTTTTATCTACTATTTAAAAAAAAAATTACTTTACTCAATATTTTAAAATATATAATTAGAAAATGGCATAATATAAAATACAATTTTTTTTTTTTTTTTTTTTTTTTTTTTTTTTTTTTTTTTTTTTTTTTTTTT